CCTATCATTTTTTGCACCTCTTTATAGGTTTTCCCCTCTCCAATCAACTTTTTAATCAAAGTACGCTGTTCTTCTGAACAATGTCTTGAACGACCCATTTTCCTCAGGCTTTCAAATGCATGTTCAACAAGTGCTGGCTTCATCCTTAAATAGGGGCCACCTGATTCACACCTGTTATTTCACAAAATTGATGACCTCACTGATTGAATGCCATACTGCTATTTTTTGAACACACCCCTTTCAACTAATTGCCCAATTGCACAGCCTTAAGAGCGTGCATATCATGAATGCTGGGTCTTGTTTGCTTTCTGAGAATCTACTGCACCTACTGGTAACTTGTTTGCCATGTAGCAATAAAAAATATACTAAAAACCTGGATTATTCTGGTTAGTCACATTGTACTGCTATTATTTTGAACAATACTGTATATAGTATATGGTTTCATATCTGGAAAGCAATGTGCAGGGATTTGTACTTGTTAGGCTTGATCTCACTGTGTGTTTAATTCAACAGGGCTCAGAATGCCAACTTTCAGAACTCTCGATGTGAAAACACACCTCTGATCGGACGCGAGTCTCCTCCCCCCTCGGTAAGTGTGACATTCCCTGTAAGAACACCAAATCTGTGGGAGCACCTCTGGGTCATTTGGGCCTTTTTTGACTAAAATAGTTTCAGGATCTGTGTAGCAAGAGGAACTAACCTAAAAACCTTGCACGGTCCTGGTTGTGTTTCCACCACATCTGAAGAACTGTGAAATTTAGGAGAAATTGACCAGTGACAGATTCAAAACAATAGCAGGGTCATCATCCTGATCTTTGTCTAAAAAGATCATTTTTATTGCTAAATAAAAAGAATTGCTAAAAAGCAGTAGGGCACTGTTCACCACTTGTTTATCAGTTTCTGTCCTCACCCCTTTGTCAGGCAAAGGTCATATAGACAGGCAGCACCATACATATATAAAATAAGCTTTGCCAACATCCATCATTAAGTAGTTTTAGTGCCCTATTGCTTTTTAGCTATATAAACTTTGCCTGAAGAAGACTTAATGGTGTGCAAGAACATTTTTGACTAGTTGACAGAGTTTGGAGATGTTGAAATGTTTATATGTATCACGAGTCAACCCTCCCCCTCCCCCCACATCCCAACTTGAACCTCTGCCAGACACCCTGCCCTCCCTGGTGTCTGTCTCTTCCTGGACCTGCTCGCTGCTTTGTGTATCTTCTCTGTACTCTTCTTCTTGTCGTTATATGTTTTCTTCTGCGAATCCATACAGTTGTATTTGACTGCTGCGGACAGTAACAGCGGTCACTGCTGGCAGTTAAAGCCTTCGGAGAGTTCAAGATCATTTTGGTAACTCCATCTGCTATGCTAACAGGTACAAAACATGGCCGCCTGCTGGCCTGTTTCTCCTCTGTACCACCCCACTCCCCCAGACCAGCTCTGCTCACTCTGATCAGGTGGCTTTTTTTTTTTGTGGTCCCAGGCTGCATGTCCCCCTACCACCCCCCCCACACACACACATTAGGAGGACCTTTGCCCTGAGGCTAACTGTGACCCATTGGTCAGCATCAAATTATGAAGCCATTTCACTGATTTGTGGATCTGATTGTCTTGATCCTTGGGTTTGAGTGTGAACTTGGGGGTTCGCACTAAAATATTATACTTTTGCATTGTAACAGTTTAGGATTTAGTCTTTGTGTGTGTAACATGGAAAATACCACTGGAAGGCACCGCTGATGTTTCACAAGCTGTTGTCATTTGGACAGCTGAATTCAGAGAGTAGGATATAAACCTTCCTAATTATTTTCAGCTCATGTCTGTTTCCTAATATTTTTTCTACTGCCACTCTATTTGGTGGGATAACTATAAAATGTGTTTTGTCATATTAGTAGAAATGGTACTATAAGAGTGGTGTTAGCCCAGTTGTGAGAGGTGCTGACTTTACATTCCCCAAAGGATTATGAGAAATATACAGTTGTTCAAAACCTGCAATCATGATCATTCCAAAGGATGATAGTTACAAAATCCATTAACAAGACTGAGAATACCCCATTACCAAGGTTCTTGTACTGTACTCTCCTCAGTCTGCATGTTGTTCAGGTGAACACCCATGCAAGTCATGTTTAATTAAAAGAAAATACAGTAGTTGAAAAGTCAGCACAGTATGAAATGCAGCCTTTTTGTGTTTGTATCACCTGTATTCAAAAGTTGTGTCCTAAATGTATATGAATGATTAGTTTCCATGTGGTTTGAAAGCTAATCTGTGTTGGATTTTCTCTGATCAGTTGAATGAATCGTTCTGCAGTACTTCGATATGTCCAGTCTGTTTATCTGAACGTACCTCCACTGCTGCATTGGATGTTTTACTTATCAGACGGGTTTTCTAGTTAAACAGATGCATTTTTCATAATGAGAAAATCCTACATGGAATTTGTTTTTAAATGTGTTGTAAAAGACAGGAGTGATTTAGCTTTTTATGTACTGTTTGTAATTTGTTTAACTATAAAGAGTGAAATTATGATTTATGTTATGTTCTGTGTTGTTTTCTGTGTACAGTACACCTCCAGCATGCGGGCCAAGTACCTGGCCAGCAGCCGACCAGATCCCAACAACACTGCAGCGCACTAGATGACACTGGACTCATCCTGTCTGCAGCATCTCTGAAGTCACTCACTTGGTCCTTTTTCTTTTCCCCCTCATAGATGATTTTGCACACAGTCACTCCACTTCCTGCTTTCTTCTGCCATTAACTGTCTCACTTGTCCAGATGTGCTTTTGCTGGTTGTGAAGCAAAATTAGCAGGTGTCATATATCATCTCATGATTCAAGAGTGCAGATATTTATTCTTCAGATTTCTCAATCCTGGGCTGATGACTACCGCAACAGTCCTTATTGGTGCTGCAGAGCCTGGACTGACTTGTACTTTTTTTTTTGTCCTTCAGATTATTTCACCATGGAGTTTACAGTGTCAAGTCTACCAAGGCATTGCAGTGTTAAACTCTGTGGAAGAGCTCATACAATAACATTGGTTACTACTGGTTGAGGTTTTGTAAAGTACTGTACTGCACTCTTACTGTGGGAGAGTGAGAAAAATGCCTTACACATAAATACGGTAGGATCCGGCTGTTTTCTTCTCACGACACACAACACATACGCACTGTAATATAGACTGATTTTACAATGCAGCATCTCAGTTGCTTAGGTCTTATTTCTGCTTGTGGAACTTGTGAATCAGATATTTGCATTATTCTCCACATATTGTATATCACGTGCACATTGGCTTGTTTTTGCATTTTGTCTTAATTCTGGGACCAGTTTTTCTGCAGGATTTTGCATCATACAGGTCTGAAATGGCATCTTTTTTCCCTTGGGATCCTGTTTTTTAAAATACATTGAGGAGCCACTTTTCCACAGCAGTGACTGTAACGTGAAGCTGTGAACTTCTCAGAGGATTTGATGAGCTGCATGGTGGAAATGCAGCTGGGATGACATTGTTCTTAAAAAAATTAAACCACAGTGACTTTAACGCTGAAGCTTTCATACTACTGGCAGCAGAATCTTTTGAAGATAACAATGAAGCAGTGAAGGACATGTTGTCTTCTGCGACCTTAACTCCAGTGCCCTCTCTTCACTAGGCTCAATGTTTCTGTAAAGTTGTAAAGCCCTGGTAGTTGTCTCCTTTAACAGAACTGGGAGTTGCCCACACACACACACCACAGATTCTGTTAAGCAGAGATTTTCTCCCATCAGCAGTTTAAAGTTAGAAAAGCCTCCCACTGATTTTCCCAACAGGAGTTGAGAGAATTTCCAAGAGAAACCTTGTGCATTGGCATTGCAGTGGCTCACAAATGTGTTTTAGCATTTAATTAAGAAGTAGCTAAGGGTAAGTGGATGCCTTGAAGGAATTGTGATGCCTGTGCACTCTATATAATCAGAAGTGTTCCTGTTGAAGCATGACGACCCTTCACACGTGGAGTGAGGTGTTTGTACTTCTGCTGCTTTGACTTCTCGTAGGTGTGCTCTGTGACCAGTACAAGTGGTGATGTTTGAGACTGTGCCAACAAGTAAAGCACAACTTCTTGTTATCTTTAGTGGGTTTTTTTTTTGTTTTTTTTTATGCTTTTCCTTTAGGCCTGTTTGTACAGTTGACCGTTCCTGGTTGCCTGTGCAATCAGGAGAACATGAGCCCGACTTTTTTAAATCATTTATGCTCTGTAAAACATTATTACGCTGATGCAGTCTTTGTTTTTGGGATAGTCATATTTGTTTGTGATACAAGGCTGTTGTACAGATTATAAGCATTTACAAAAAATGCTGAAGTTATTTCATTTTACATTTTTATTTCACTTTTTAAAACTTTTTTCCTGTTTGATTTGATTTGATTTTAATTTTTTTTTCCATTTTAGAATCTGTAGCAAGCACAATGTGTTGCTTCATTAATGTGAACATGGTAAATAGGTTTTAATTGAACATGAAAATTTTTTTTCTCCTTAAACAAATCACTGTAGATGTAACTTTGTTTTTTTGCAATCTCTAAAGTGTGTACATGTAAAACCTGTGGTTATATTGATTTTGAATGCTGTGTTTTCAAAATTAAACAAACCTTAACTGTAGTGTAGCAGCTCATTGGATTTCTTTATTATTGGATTGAAGTATTTTCACAGCTGAAGCATCCTGACCAGGAACAGACACTAGGTAGCAGCAGAACCACACTGTTGTTGCCTCTGTTTTTCTTTTTACTACTTTTTTAAAATAGTTTTTACTAAGAAGAACAGAATTTGCTCTATGCAAAATGTGAAATTATAATGACCAATATATGTGATTAAAATTGGATACATTATTATTTACTATATTTCAGTGCTACATTTAGCATTTTTGTTTGTTAGGGTTTTTTTGTTGTTTTTTTTTACTTTAACCTTTATTTATTCAGGAATTTTTTTGAGATAATTGGCATCTCTTCCAAAAGTGAGACCTGGCCAAAGTGGCAATGAACGATATGTATCACATAGTTACAAATCGTTCATATGCAATAATCTCATACCGAACAACAAAACAGAGAAAGCATTTTACAAAGGTGTAAACAGGAGGTTTACCAAGAATGGCTTTTATTAGTAGCTGAACACCCCCTGAAAATCATGTCTGCTGACCTCCGGTGGTTTAACATCTCACCTGAAGTGATGTGAGTGGAGGACGTTGAGTAGGACAAAATAATAGAAACACCTGGCAGTATAACATGACGTAGCTCAACAGCAGCACAAACTATCTTCCAAAATGACCCTACAGGCGAATCAACAATAGAGTAAATCAGATTTATTCTTGCCACAAAAAAAATTAAATCTCATGTATCCAAGTTCCAGCATATTTCTGTACAGACTAATCTCTAACTCTAATCCATTTCCTTGTCTGTCTTTGAAATAAATGTACATGACTTCAGGAGAGAATAGTCCTCTTAGAGATTTCATGTGTATGTTGGTATTTATTTCTGTTGCAGAGCACTGACAGACCACAGGCTTGCACACACATAACTTTGAGTGGAGCAGAATGGCAGCCTTGTGTTTCTGACCTCTCTGGGCCGACAGCAGGCAAGAGGTCAGTGTCAGCACCGGGCCAGCAGTCTGGTTTTGTCAACTTCCTTCATTCCACCAGCCAGCTGCTGTTGCCCCAAACACTGACTGCTCTGCTCATGTGGAAATTTGGGGGCTGGAATAAAATATGAAAATACACAGAAGGAGACAGGACCTTCCCTTTTCATCTTCTGTGTCTTTACATATGTAGACTAGAATTTTCACTCTTTTAAAATTTTTGTAAATGTTTCACTGAATTTAGATCGTTCATTCAGAATGTGTATACAAAAATATTAAAATACACACATTTTTGTCAGTAAATATGTCCTTTTTAGTTACTTTTTCTCAAAGGATGAGCATAGAGATTACGTCATCTTGTTCCTGCTGTTTATTGTGGGGGCCGGACTAAACAAAGCAGTAAACAAACAAAGTGTGACAGAGGCCAAGAGGTTTTTACAACCCATCCTACACAGAGATCCAGAGATGCAAATGAAATCTCACACAGTGTCACTGTCAAGGAAATTGAATTACCCCGTTTGTTGTTGGACTGAAGGAATGCATTACTAATGCTTTGAGGGGGGACACTGAATGGAGCGGGAGGAGGAGGTGGATATGGGGTGCCTGCACCCTCTGAACCCCCCCACACAGACACTTCCTGAGTCTGGCTGGGCTCTGTGCCAGGTGATCAGACCATGGCTTTCTAACTGTCTTCTCAATGCCAGGCAGCTGCATGACGGCCAGGAGGCTTGAGAGAGGCCAAGCTGCAAGACTTCCATTTAGAAATGCACTGGTTTTATTAGCCTAAATCACAGGGTAGCCAGCATCCCATCTTTTCTAATTAACCCTCGATGTTTGTAGTCTTTTTTAAGTGGAAATCTGGTGGTAAAAATGTCTCCAGACCCACAATAAATGATATATCAGAGCATAAATGTGTGGTTTTGTGTGTTTTCCCTGCCTTTCTCACTGCATGTAGTTTCCACTTCCACAGTGTCAGATCACTGCTACAGAGACCCTCCTTGTTAGTGTCTTTAACCCCCAGCATCAAAGGCTTTAGTGGCAGCTGTTGCAGACTATCAGTGTTCTAACCTTTATTTAATTATATAGTTTCACTGATTTCAAGGTCTCGTTTGCAAGAGAAAAACGCGGTTTGGTATTTTAACAGAGAAGCAGAGCGTGTCTCCCTAACAGCAGTGAGTGTGCACTACTGAGGTGTTTGTTCAGAGGAAGCTGGGCTTTACGCTATAGCAACATTTTCTGCTTCTTTTGTCACTTCCTCAACTCATAATGATCACCTTGTCTTTGCGGTATGCATGAGGCAAGATGAACACTGAATGCAAACACAGGACGTGAGCACCTTTGTGTCCTGTTTTTGGAGGGAATCCTGCTGCTTTGTTGCTGCCATGTTCAACAGTGAAAGGGAGCCCAGGAAACAGGGTGCCCAGTTTGTCCCTTTTGTGGACGAGTTCAGAGGGAGGCAGCTGTGTCCTGGGAGTCAGTGCTCACGTTATTCACACCTCACCTCCTCCTTTGTACATTTGACCCAGACAAGCCGGAGGGAGCACGTAGCCAGTGAAGGATTTATGGAGCTGTGTCGTTACCCCCGTCCTTACCTTTTAACTCCGCACATACAGCCCCATGCTCACTGAGATGCTTCAACACTTTTTGTTCTTTTAAAGTCTTCCATCTTTTGTGTGTGTGTGTGTAGAATTTGTTATGGTCCAGAGGTTTACCGCCGATTCTAAAATGAACCACATGGGACAGTAATGTTTCCTTATGACCAAGGTACAATAAACATTCAAAAGCACCATTTATATGACAGAGCTCCTTAAACACTCTCTGCAAAAGTGCTCACATTAAAAACTGATTATATACGGCAATAGTGAAAAGTACAAAATGCAATGATAACACTTTATTTTAACCCCTCACCCCCTTTTTTTTTTAAGGTGGCTGTGGCTCAGGTGGTGGAGTGGTCATCCCCCAGCCGGAAGGTCGGCGGTTTAATTCCCATTCTCCCCAGTCCACAAGCCAAAGTGCCCTTGGGGAAAGACACTGATCTTGCTCCTGATGCACAGCACTGCCATCAGTGTGTGAGTTGCCTTGATTCTGTAGCAGAGACAAATTCCTTGTGTGTAACATACTTGACCAGTAAAAGTGATTATCATTGTAAGGTATTTTAATTGCTTATTGTTGTAGGTATAAACCACTGAGCAAAACATTTCCTGAATAAAATACCATTATATCTGTTCCTGTTTACATAATAGTGTGTTATAAAAAATGTATTAAATGTGTGTATAGTGCTTATAAATGATATATAGTGATATAAATGATATAAAGTGTTTAAAGAAAGGTTTATCATAGAAAAAATAAAGAATAATCATGAAAATGGCATCTCATTTAGTCATTATACAACAGAAAATAATTCATTTTGGAAAAGTTCTGAGATTTCTTTTATAAAATGAATAATTTTTATTCTTAGTTCCACACTTTTTCATGCTGAATTGAAATTAATCCCAAAGAATTTTGTGCGACAGCTAGCAGAATGACTTGAATTTGTGTTTTTTTTAGAAATCTGTGACAATGATAAAAATAAAAGCTGGTGGTCATCCTCCAAATTCCTCAGGTCCTCCACTCCAGTGCTGCTGTTCGAGTGCTTCTCTAGCAGAGATATGTGATACCTAGATTATAGCAAACTCCCACTTGGTCGGCCTTTATGGCACATGCTCATCAGGATTAAGGCCAGTGCCAGTTGCTGTGTGATCTCTCTATGGGCCAATGGGACCATTGCTAATCCTACAGACAATGAATGCTGTTAATTGGAGACTGACTGATATAACAAAGGTCATGATGACAATGTGCCAGTGGCCAGCGTCTCTGTAATCCCCTGCACTGTGGGGAATGGCCGTCTGATAGCCACACTTCACCAGATCTACTCCCTCTCCTCACCTTCCACTCTGGGATTTTCTATTTTACTGGCAGTTAGAGCTGTTGTTTTGTTTTTGAGTCAAACAAACACAAAGGCAATGACTTTATAGAGCTGTGAAATTTCACATTTTCTACCCAGAGGACCGATGGAAGGTGCAAGAAAGCACACCCAGGTGTTTGTGTTTTAATCAGCATGGTACAAACAGACTTAAGAAGTGTTTCCTGTTATTCCTTCTGTAGACAAGGCCGAAACAGTGTCAGCATTAAGGAGGTGAGGCCGCAATATTCTGTGTTTTAAATATGTCCTCAAATATACATATATAATGTTAGAAAACACACCAGTAATAAAAATGAAAAATTTTGAACTCTGTAAGGATCTCATGTCACCATCATGATTCTTCCCCAGTCCTGTTAACGCTACCCAGTCTGCTGCTCTGTCGCTGTCAGCCGCTTATTTCCTCAGGCACCTGCAGTTACATGAAACTTTCCTGAACTCATTCCTCAGCCATCTCCCAGATGCCCTTGGACTTTCCCTCCTTTCCCAGTCACCTGACTCCCACGCTTACCTTCTCACCTCTTTCCCATCCCCTGATCGGCTCTCAGTTTTTAAACAGCCCTTGGTCCCTTCAATATACCCGAGTCTTGTTTTCGGTCTCTTCATAGTTATTTTGCATTTCTTTCAGTCATTTAATGTCTCCTTTAGTTGTTTTGCATCCCTCTGTGGTGATTTTGTATCTCTTTGTGGGTGTTTGATTAATTTTTCAGGACTAAATGTCACTTTATACAGAGGCTATGGTCCTGCGGCCCTGTACCTTTCAGACAAGCACATTTAGATGTAAAGATAGCATGATCTACAGAGTTTTGACACTCAACAGTTCTTTGATTTCTCCCTGAGGTGAAATTATAACTCAGACTAGGACAGACACAAGTCATGCAGGACAGTTGTTGTTTTGTATACAGATCATTCTAGGTATTTGGATACTGGATCCTTTATCAGTGAAGGAAAATCAGCCACATCAGCCGCCCCAAGTCTTATTTCACCATAGCTCACAGACAGGCAGGTGGGTGTCTGCAGTTGGATGTTTCTCTTCTTGTAATCTCTCACCTGTTGCCACACTATATTATGAAATAATTCCACTGCTAAAGGTTGAGCAACAGACGTGCAGTTGTTACACCTCAATTATACTTTCAATTATGATCTGTTATCTTATTTAAAGATATGTCATTCCTGTTAATGACTGTGAAATAATGCCATTTACAGCGGAAGAACTACTGAAATCTGAAAGATAAAGGGTGAAGTGTTAGATCAAAAGATATTGCTATCATATCAGTATCTGAAGTATAAAGCTACAGCTAGTAGCTTTTTAGCTTAACTTAGTGCAAAGACTGAAAACTGAGGGGAACAGCTAGCAGGTCAGGGTGTAGATTGAAATGCTAGTAGTGAACATTTATCAGTATTTAGCATTCTGTAGCTGCTGGCATGGGAACACACATACTATAATTGCAATAGCAAAGGTTAAGGAGAACAGTATTAACATGTAACAACCGCCATTCATTCCAAGTTGCTCACAGATGTGACAGACTGGTGTGTCTGAAAGTTTACTGGTAGCGAGGGAGTACAAATGAGCTAGAGGAAATGGCTTTAGGTTCATTTAGATCTCATTTTGTTTTCCTCTCATTGCAGACAAACACTGTGATGGTGTACATCTTTTCAGTTATGACTAAAAAAGTGCTACAAGCGACAGTTTTCAGAATCTGAGATTTAAAAGATTAGCGACAGAATAGAGCATCACTCTAATGATTTGTTATGTATGTAAAAACCTTTTTGTTTTGTAAAAAACAGCTTGCCAATTTAATAATGCTAGACTCTTATACTTAAGCTACATGCCCTCCTTTCCCATGGGTACAGTGCCAGAGGAGGGATCTGTCTCATCTATTGTTAGCAAGCTGAAGAAAGCAAAGCTAATCTACTACTCAAGCTGTTTTGATTGTCCTTTTTTGTACAATATGTGATTTGAAACATCTGTACAAGTTTATTGGAAACTTTTTTGGTGAATCAGCAAAGAGACAAGAAAGCAGGCACAAAGCGACTGATGTCTGTTTGAACATGAGGTTTAGACACATAAAAGGCTGCAGCTTTTCCCACTATACATCTCTGGAAGGCAAAGCTGTGATTATGGTTTGTGGTAGGGATGTTTGCTCTGAGCAATTTGTCTCCCATGCAAGGCTTTGGTGATGGATCTTAAGTGACAGGCCTGCCAGGGTTCAGCCAGCATCTGCTTGAGGAGGCTGATAACATCAGTCTAACCTAGCCTAGTCTATAAGTCAGGTCAAATGACAGTAGAATACTAAGTGATTATTCTGAGCATGACATGTGGACAAAACAGACAAAAAAGACCAAATATACAAAGTTTTTCAGTGGTTATGCACCTTTATTTAAAGTTTCAGGCCCACTGCGGGTCCCATGCTTGTTAATACCAGGATCAGCTCATAATCCCTGAGAAGCCAGTATTGGGAATGAACTGTTCAAACCCTCCAGATACTGGAGAATAAACACCACAGTCATTTAGTCGCACAGTTCAAAGCAAATCATGTCCAGGTCATTAAAAGCATGTGGAATCTACAGAGATGAAATGACATTCTAAACATATACAATCGCTACTCACGTAAACAAAAGGCACAGTACACAATACTGTAATCAAGATGTACAGCGTAACCCAATATGGGTGAGAGACAACACAGAGGGGAACAAATCCCTCCATGTGGAAACACTGATGTTGCTCTTGTTCAGTTCTCACCTCAGAGGTCTCAACAGTAAACAGCCAATATTATGTGTAAATATACATCATTCATAATAACAGTAATAATGATAATAATGGTTGAGTCCTGTTGTGCAACCGGTTGTAGGTTTTTATGTAGATGCCACTGATTCAAACTGTTTAATTTGGGTTCTCTTTAAATGGCATTCATCCAAATTTAATGTTGGTAATTCTCCCCGTTTAACCTTTAGAGGCGAGTGTCTTCTCAGGCACAAACATCAGCTCATTTGAAACTCCTGTGCAATTTCCAAACACAAAGCAATTCAAAAGTTGATTGTAACCCCGAATCAAAACCTCTTCCATTCATTTCTTTTCCCTGATTGTAACAAATGCATGCATAAGAATAAACAGATACTGAGATTTCGAGGGGTTATTTGTTGTTAGTTTGAACACATGTCTGAAGTATGTAGCTTAAGGATGTAAATTAGGTTATTCCACTGAAAAATATCAAAAAAAGAAAAAGTGCTTTGTCCTGATATACCTCAGATTAGTTCACCAAAGGATGTATTTGGTAATCTGCCTGCTGCCAGCAAAGGTTTGCGGGAGAAAAAAACACTGTTAACTAAAAAAATATATATATATCTTCATATCAGAGCATTTGTCCGGAGTCATTTCAGGTAAAAGGTTGAAACAAAATGCCTAGAAAAGCCAATTGTATGTGATAAAAGCCAAAAAGCCTACAAATATAGACCTGAATGGTTTTGCTTTTTTAACAACTAAAGTAAAAAGTCATTCTGAAGCTGGCAAAAAGGCTTGAATATATGACAATACATTCTATGAGAATTGCAAATACATTTACAAGCAACATATACATCACAAAGCTGATTGCCTGCAAAGCT